AAGATCGGATGACGTCTTTGTTATCAATGACGCAGATGAAATCCCGGCACATGAAGGCCTCCTTTTCCTTAAGCTATTTGATGGCTGGACAGAGCCTGTGGCCATCCACATGCGCAAGGTAGTAGCAGCAATATGTCAGCTTGTGTGTGTGTGGTCAGTCATATGTTTTTCACCAGGAAGATCGGGATGATTGTGTCATACATTAACAAACAAATGCAACAAATGAAACATATTTCATGATATCTGTTTATAATTCAGTTTTTTTCTCCCTACATCCAGTCACTGTATGGATTTTTCTGGAAGCAGTTTGGCTCTCTAGAGGTGGTGTCAGCCTGCACGGTGGGGATGCTCCGCAATGTCTACAATGGCGATGGTATCAAGCTCCGTCGTCGCGAATACTACACCATGCCGGGTTTCCGTAAGTATGAGAATGACACAGGCCATATCCTGGTGCAGTGGTCAGTGGGCAGCCCCATTCACTTCGCTGGGTGGCACTGCTCCTGGTGCTTCACACCCGAGGGGATCTACTTCAAGCTGGTGTCAGCACAGAACGGAGACTTCCCACGGTGGGGCGACTATGAAGACAAGCGTGACCTCAACTACATCCGCAATCTGATCAGGACCGGGGGCTGGTTTGATGGCGCTCCGCAGAAATATCCCCCTGTAGACCCCAAAGAACACATGTATGCCCCCAAATACATGCTAGAGCACTATGACAGGTACCGCTACCTCCTGGAGAACCCTTACAACAAAGTGTCCGGACTGTAAAGATTTCAGCTAGGAAAAAATAAGTTAATAACTAGTAGTAGTTTTGGGGGATGGAACAGTACTGATGAACGTTTTCTGAACGAAGTTAAGAGAGGGAAATTTTGTTACTGTGTGAAATCTGTGGAGACAAACTTGGAAGTGAAGGATTGTGCTTTGTTTCTACTTGTTTACTAAAGTTTACGGGTTGATGTTTCACCCTCTTCCGTCAGATTTCTTCCTGTCATATTTGGTGAAAGACACACATTTAGATATTACGTTATTCTTGGCTCCCTATTTAAATCCCGCTGGATGTAAATATTTCAGCTCATTCATGGACTCACTGTCATCTGCATGCCAACTCTGTTTTTATGCAGGTTCTCACCGCACAACCATTGATATAAAATAAATAAATAGGTAGCAACTGAACAAAGACTTTAAAAGGGAATATGTTGCTAATAAACACAGGAATGATATCCTATGGATATACAGGTACATATGAAATGTTTGTCAATGTTATCAGAATCCAAGTCTGAGCTCGTTAGATTCAATTGATATGCTCAAGAAACGTTTAGCATTTATTTACATAGGTCAAGTTTATGTATCAGCCTGAAGGTGAATCTCTCATGAGAAGCAACTCTGGTTATAAGTGTGGTGACTGTAAATACAACAAATTTCCCCCCAGGGATCAATAAAGTATTTCTGATCATTGATTTAAGCTAAGGTGAGGAGCTCAGGCACCTTGAGGCAACGGTATAACTGCTGCGTCTTCGCATTAAAAAGAGCCGATCAGAATTCCTCCTGGATGCCTCCTTGTGGAGGTATTCAGGGCACGTCCAACAGGAGGAAACTTGGGGCAGAGCCATAACATGCTAGAGGAATTATGTATCCCATCTGGCCTGGGATGCCCCCAAAAGAATACCTCAGGGTTACATAGCTTAGCTTATTGCCGCTGTGACCCAGAGCTGGATAAGGGATGGAAAATTGATGATGACTGATTTGATATTCCTTCTACCTGATTGAGCATTGTGTATTTCCACTGCTGCTTCCATTATCTTCTAATGGAAAGATTAAGAAGAAAAAACGTCCTTGCACAAATAAAATGTGCCCTGAATAACGGAGCTGCAGCTTCACACAGGGCTGCCATCAGATGACCTAAGGTAAGTAATTTCCAGTGGGACTTTTATTTCACAGATTACAGACAAACAGGTTCCCCCAGGATTAAGAACATAGGAGGACACCAAGTAAGAGCCACCTGTGCAAAATAGTCTTTTGGTGTTTGACAAATGAGACTCTTCATATATACTCCATACATATACTGTAGCACCTTTGGCAGCACAAATATACACCCTCCTGTGACACAGAAGATGTCTTAGTGTATCGGCCAGGGAATCAGCTTACATTCTCAGCTCGACACCACACACTGCACAGGGAGCGGATAAGAGCTCTGACCTGGGGCTTGTGTTTAGGAGTCGGCATTTTGTTCTTCAGCCCAGAGAGAGCATCAGGCAGATCAGGGCCTGGATCAGAGGAGAAACCTTATCCGTCCCCTCGAGGATTGCCCTGTCAGCGGCTTTCTCTGGCTCAGAAAACCCAACGACTAAATTAGCCTTTGATAGAGAGATAAATCAGAATGCAGAGGCTATTTTTTTTTCTTGTGCATCTGCCTGAGGAAAAACGTATGTCCTCCAGTAAACCTTGGCCTTGTCTTCACTGCAGAAATACTGAAGTGCAGCGTGCATTAGCAGAAGGGACAATACGGACTACACAACATTTACTTTTTATTCATTTATGTCGTTCCAGATAGTTGTTAAATATGTAACCTAAGTAATGTAACTTACATGCACATGGTGTAGTTTTTGGTACATTATAGTCTAGCTGTTATCTGGTTAATGTGCTGTCTGCAAGCTGTCAGTACTGCCAAAGACTGTTGTGTGAACAGAATCATCACTGTGTAACAAATCTTTAAGATCCCAATTGGGCGAGTGGACAGTTCAACAAGACCAAAAGAGTAGCAACTTTTCCTTATTCAGTTAAGTCCTAGTTAAACATTTATGTGTATCCTAATATTTTAAGCTTATCAATTAAATAGTTGCACATCAAGATGCAGCAAGTAGCTTGTTAAACACGGTAGGCTATAGCTATTAATCAAATATGTTGTATATGTGTGATTAACATTATATGTATTATGCTGCAAAATTTAATTTTCAGGTTGAAAACTAAACCTAATTCCATTTAATGGGATTCGAAAGGATTTGGATTTGATTTGATTTGTTATTTATTACTGATTTTAGATTCAATAAAATACTATCTAGTCCTCTTCTTACTGTAGTTATAACTATAAGGCTTCAGCACTATGAGGTACTAGCATCTAGTACTACAGTTTTCTGATGTGACCCATAGTATCTTACAAATTATAAATCACAGTTAACAGTATTTACAGAAACCCTAATTTCATGAACATGAAAATTCTAGGAAAAAGACAGTGTGACACACTGATCGATTGACTGACTTATTTAACCCTGTTACATCTAGAAATGTCATTATCGTGTTCCCCAGAAACATATTATCCAACATCTCTCACACGGACCAAACAGCATAATCTCTGAAGCAGTCAAACTGAACATGATCTGACTCCAGATTTTGTTGTTAAAAGTTTAAATCATGTTCTAAACAACTCACACTGCCTCTGTCCTCCATTGACCGGCCTGCTTTGTTGGCTCAGGATGAGATTTTACCTCGTTTGCACAGACCTGAATCTGCTCGTCTTTTCTCAAATCGTGACCTTCACCACAAGATAAGATAAAGCCAACAGAGCATGGAGGAGTGTCTGGCAGTGCCATGTTGACTCACACAGCTGTACTCTGGCAGTGCTCTCATAAGAGCCATTACCCAATTATTAGGTAGTGAGGCTACGGAGAAACGGAGAAGAACAAGTGAGAGACACAGCAATAGAAAATGTGAAAAGAGACGGCAGTTCATTGTTGTTGAACATTTATTGTTGTTTTTAAAGGATTGACACACTTCTATTACAGTCATTTGATTAAAATTAATTGTTAACCTTGAACTGAAAGGTAGATGTAACTTTCTAGATTACTCAGAAACAAATTTTTTATGTATTTGGTATTGTCATAATGTATTATAGATCATTTGAATGCGTTATGAATGCAATATAATGCAATGTATAATGCACGTATATAGTTTCTGCAAGCCCTCGTAATGCATTGTGATGACCAATAACAACCAAAACCTTGAAACCTTTTTTCTCTGTTTTAAACTTGGATTATGATTATACCTAACTATCATGGCTGTTGTTGTGCAATATCATAATACATTATGGAAAATGTTAAGCTACTCTCATAGTGCATAATGCGTGTGTTATGTAAGGGATAATTCCCGAAGAGGCGTACTTTATCAGGAATTAATGGACTCTATGTCGTCCATTAATTCTTGATAAAGTACGCCTCTTCGGGCATTATATCGCTTACACCATGGTCACTTGCCAAAGATAAACAAAAAAGCTAATTCATTTAAGTCATTAAGTGTTTTTTTTACAAGCCATAACTCTGTTTCCATGGTAACATATGAGGGTTTGACTTAATAAGGTTCTAATGCAATGGAAACGTTGTTCAGTACTCAAGTAAATAGGTGCCTTGGCTACGGGAGACATTTTTTGTTCCCTATGTTTACAGAACCCTTTGTTTCACGAGCCAGAGAGGTAACTTTATGCTAGCAAGACTCAAAGTCAATAACACAGCATACGGTTGACAAATGGTAATTTGACAGTATGTTTAACAACAAGACTAGCTAGCTATCCATATATGCCATTGTCCCCAAATCATCATCAAGACAAATAATAGACCATGTGTTACTTCCCATCGACCACAGCTTGAAGTAATGAGAATAGCAAATGAGATTGCTTAGACAAAGTATCAGTGAGTTCAGAATGGCACTTTAGGGGCTTGTGTGTTACAGTCGCCATCTTGGTGGTGTTCAGAGGATGAGCCACTAAAGGACTGTGGGATATATTTATGAAATAACAAGATTTTGTCTTTATTCAATTCATTCATTTAGAATGGTGGACGGACAGTTTCATTTGAACTGCTTACTGGGTGTCAGTTTTTATTCTGTGCATCTCGTGTTTCATGCTATTTATAATTTTCTTGGGTTTTATATACAAATCTTGATTAAATACATCAATTCTATCCAACATTGCTTATTGTCAATTGTGAAGAAAAAGAACAAAGAAAAGAAAAACAAACAGCTGCAGACTGCTGCCAACATAAAACTCCCAATGACCTCAATGTGTCTCCATTAAGTAACACACATACACACAGTGTAGCTCACTGGTGTATACACGCTGTCTAAAAGGGGTATAACTCTCCAACCCTCAGAAATTATGTTGCTTACTTTGGAGGGTATATGAAAGGTTAGTTGGCTCTCTCTCAGCATGCCTTCCTGTCTGCTCTATTTATGCAGCAGCGGCGGACTGTAGATGTAGGAACTGTAGATCCTTTAGATTTATATATTGGGATTTTCTGTTTTAAAGAGTTGTAATTTTGTGATTTCAAGAAACTATGGGAAACTGAGTTGTGTCTATTAACTTCCAGTTCCATTATTTTTTCCTTTCCATAAATCTCCCAGCTGCTCATTTACTCCTACCTGTTTCCCTCTTCCTTATCCCTCCTCCATCTAACCCTCAGTTCTGTCTTCCTCTGACAGATGAGTGTGGTCAGAGGTCATGTGGTTGTAATTAGGGGAGTGCTGCCTCGGCACTCTGCCCTGCTTCCTGTTTCTAATCTACGAGAAAACAGGCTTCAGTTCAGTCAGCCCTGAAAACAGCTGTTAGCCGCGGGGCTCAGCCTTCAAACTCCCAAACCTAAATAAAACTGTCTTTAACCTGTCTTCATAGTCTCATAACATTTATCATAAGCTTCCCCCCATCACACCAGCTCCGCCCTCAAATTTCCCTTCTGCTTGATCAGTTACATAACTGCAGAACTACACAGACACTGGAATGCAAAAGGCCTCACAGTGCTTACATAGTATTCATACATTTATATATGAATATTATTAGTCTGCTAGTTTTGGATCATGAGAAAAGATCAGAGGTTATCCTCCTTATTTTACTACCTCCAACATTTTCGGATCTGTTTTCAAGTTTCTTTGCTTTATAGGTGGCTCTTGTTATACAGCTTTCATCCTCTCAGCATTGCACTTAAAGGTCCAGTGTGGAACATTTAGGAGGATCTAAAAATGTCAGTTCTGCAGCCACCATAGTTTCTCCTTCATGCTTGGAAGGGGAAGGTGAAACGACAGAGGTGAGATCTGCAACTTCATCACTGGATGCCACTAATTCTTTACACTTGACCTTTAAAGAAGTCAGCAGAATTCTGGACTAGGGCAACATATAAAAGCTGTTTAGTCCAGAATGGACAAGGTTATTGAGAAATAGTAGAAGAGTCAGCCATGTTTCAACCTTTTTCATGTTTGTTGGCTAATATGGTTTTTGTGCTTCCTTAATCTTGACACTTTCTATACTACAAAACATTTGCAAAATGATTTAGAAATTGAGGCCCATCTCTTTCAGCTTTTATCTGAGTGAATGTTACCAATTTACCAATTACCAACTAACTCTGTGAGCTCATCCAAATTATATAAAACCAAAGCATTAAAAACATATGTTTCATTTTGTGAAACCAACACTCAAGTGCAGCCCCCAGCTTTGCTTACAACCTGTCTAAACCGGGTCACAGGTGAATGTGGGAATAGGAGGCCCACAGCGCTTATTAGGTTCACCTGTACAATCTAATGTAGTCCAAGACAGTAGTCGTGCCACAACATCTATCTTTACAAAGCGTTTTGGCTCTGGTAGTGTCATAAATGTGTTAATTAAATTAGATATTTTAGCATTGAGGACATAGTTGCAAATGTTGTACTGGACTTAATTATATTCAAAGGTGCTTCTAATTTTCTGCCCCCTCTGGTGTGTAAATGGGAAGGACAAAGACTTAGAAACTCTTCTCAATATAATCTGTACAACAACACATTTAACTATGACATCAATAAAACATATATGGTTGAATTTACACATTACTGAATGTCACAAAAAACTGAACATTAAGAGCTTCAGGGACAGAATGATATGGCAGGAGTGTTGTACTGGACTGAATTAGACTGTACAAGTGTACTTACTAAAGTGCCCCTGAGAGTATGAACTTCGGCACCTCGGGATCCTCATGGTTACTGGTAAAGGATTCATCTGACAGGAAAATATACAAATTATTACAGAATTGTAATAAAAGACCTTGTGCCATAAAGTGGAAATAATTTAGCTATAGAACTAAGGGTTATGGATAGGAATGGCTTTGCCAAAGGTGTCAGTGGACAGAAAAGTAGACACCACTTGACAGAATTTTGGTAGATGTTACTCCAAGGTCTAGCAGTAGAAATCAACTCATACTGGTCAAAATAGGATAAATACCACTCATTTAAATGCTTGTAAGAAACCATGACTGTAGTGATATCCTACTATTCACTTTGTTAGCTTGTTTTACACTCAGCAGGGATAATTGAAAGAGAATTTACAGCACTTGATTGTTTATAGTTGAATAGGATTAGGTGAGACTGCCTCAACTGGCCGGTTAGTTTTCAACAGTCTTGTAAAAGTTGAGTTAATTAGGCTGATCTGGACTGACTGTGAATGTACTTAGTTAAAGTGCAGCATGTTGTTATTTTTAATGGGCAACAAAGTGAGCACCAATAATATGTTTAAAGGGTTTGGGCAACACACTTGTTTTCCAATAAGTGTTATCATATTTGTCATGTTCAGCTATAATTTATTATGTTTATGTGGCCTTAATGCATTTTTGTTTTTATTTTCGACCATTTTGGTTTCAAAGTATATTTTTTGTTACCTGCTAAAATTGAATATAGTCAAATTGCACACCTAAAGTGAACTAAATCTAGTGTTCATTTAACCCACAGCTTGTCTACTGTGCATGTTGGAACAGCCTCCACTGGTCTGGCCTGACGATCCAGGAAACTGTTCAGATGTCCTGCTTTGTTTCCCAATAGAGCTTTTCAGATCTCCACTCAAGGCTTAAAGTATTTACAATGCTGCAGTCTGCTTTTCCTCTAGCAAAGCCTCCCTAAGGACGGCATTACAGCTAATGGGAGAGATATGGCCAAACAGATGGAGCTGGCATGCTGCGGAGCCATCCGCTGTCTCCAAGAGTTTGAGATGGGTTTTTGTTTGCTAGTTTGTTTGTTTATTTTAGAGAGTTGGCCAATATTGGGGGTTAAATCTTAAATACATTTCCCTTATTGAGCGACTTAATTGAGAGTCCTAAGCTGAATGGTATCACCATTCAGTGTCAAAAAAGTAAAAGTAAAAGTAGAAGGGTGAAAAATTCACTGCAGAAATGTGAGGATATGCATGTCCTTTGTGGTGAAAACAAGGGACATTTTGGCATCTTAATTTGAATATACAAGCTCTTGATTTCATGTGAAATTCTGAAAATGTTTAATTTTTAATAATCAAGTGTTTTTTTGTTGCTCAGTGATACAGAACAAAGAGAGACTTGGTTAGTGAAGGAAGAAGTACTGTTTACAAGTAAAAACACACACATACACAGTCCAGCCCCAACAGCATGAGTGGTAGCACAGCTTTTGGCTATAATACAGCTATTTACATTAACTGCTCTGCAGTTTTAAGTCTTTGTATATTAATTGTCAAAACCATAATGCATTCCCGCATTTAGTAATGAAGCACCCTTATTTTTCATTTTGATATGTTGGGATATACTTGTGTTTAAAGGGTCAGTTCACAAAAAATAACAAAAAAAAAAGCTTTTCCCTGCCTTAACCCTATCTATGCAGATGATGTTGGCTTTATTTAATGGGGTTCCACTCAACAGTTTTCATTGTGACTATTTCTTAGTAGACAATAGTCCCAGTAATAAATGTAAACAGTGATATATGTAACACAGGGAGGATTAATGGTTTAATTTGTTGTTTTAGACTATGTAAAAAGCTTGTCTAAAGCTTTGCCATCTAACTTCTTAACTATAAAATAAAACCTGAACTGCAAGCCATGCAGACAATCAGTCAATACCAGCTTTTCCTCAAACCTAAACTCATGAAGGACAAACACAGTAGGAGCATCCTCAAGTCAAACTTGCAACATGCACTACCAGGCTTCAGAGTTCTTCACGTGTTCAAAATATTTGACCCAACTTGTCAATTCAATTCATTTTCAAAATAGAAAGAAAAGACCTACATGAAGTGGACACAGACAAAATCATTCCAAAAAGACCAGTCGATAATCAGAACTGATCCAAAATGTGGTCACCAACACTGGCATCAGCACGATGAAGTATCAACTGACAAGGAGACAGTTAAAAAGAACAGCAAAATAATAGTAATGTTGTCCTAGGAACAAATGTTAAATGATTATTCTAAAATTCTAATTTATATCAATAAATTAAAAAGTCTTATTTTGACCTCTTGCACCATCATTACTTCTGTATAGTCAACTGGACAACAGATGAGAGAGAAGATTCTAACCACGGTGTATAACCAATATATACACCATGTGGTCAAAAGTATGTGACACCTGAGAATCTTAGAAATATGTGATTACTGAGCATCTCAGACTATGGGAGTTAATGTGCTGCTATAACAGCCTCCATTCTTCTAGGAAGCATTTACAAATGCTTAGTAGTGCTTATTAAATGACTGGTGGCACTTAGAACGATAAATGCCTGGTGGCGTAAACAATACTTTAAAGCTCAGGGAAACTGAGATGAAATGTGAGCCTTTTGGCTTTCAATATTTTTGCAATTTCTGTGAACTAACCCTTTGAAGTGTTCTTCTTAAAGGCACAAAGGCAACATTTGTTAAAGGTATGACAGCAGTCTGTCCAAACACATTTTAATCAGACAGAAACTGGTACTACTACATATATACCTGTCAAGAAGCACCATGGCACGAATACATGATTGATTGCACAGATTTACGACTCCTGATGAGTGATACAACTTGTTTCCCTGAAAGTAGTGATCCAAGAGGTGAAAGTAGGACAGCACAGAAGTAGGAAAAAATATTTACTTTGTACAAAAGGGTATTTCTAGTGCAAAGGAAGTAATTCAACATTCTTTCCTAATTGTGTGCTCTGCTACCTTTCTGTTTTTATTGCTTCGTTTGATTCTAATTTGGGCAGTCCTCATTTTAGAAAGCACAGTATGTTCCCCTCCAGGCTGAAAGGAATAAGCACCAAACTTGTAATGTCCTTGGTTTAGTTCACCTTTCTTGGCATAAAGCAGTATCCATGGCACAAAGACCAAATAATCCGACCCAAAGATTCTGCCACTCCTCTCATTATTCCCTCTCAACCATTTTTACTGGATGCTAGGTGCCACCAGGTATCCATTAAAGGTGATGTAAACATCCACGTCATCACTGTAAACCGCGTTCTCCCTCTCCCTCTTGTAGAGTCGAACCCACACCTCATCATTTAGAGCCAGATTCAGCATGACACTCTGGCTCTGCATGATAGACCTCTCACTGGGCTGAGCGTACAGGATCACCTGCTCCTTGTCATTGTGCATCAGGTGGAGGTAGGTCTCCTTAAAGTTCCAGGTGTGAATGTTAATGTTAAAGAAGTAGATCCCTGGCACGTAGCAGTAGAACTTGCCCTTGAACATGTTGAAGTGCTCATGGATGTTGACGAACACCGTGTCGAACACCAGCGCCTGGTAGTAGTCCACACTGTGCAGGGATTTGCGACGTCCCACTGAGAAGGAAGAGTGAGGGATCTTGCAGGCGTCTCCAGGGGCACCTGCCTGGCCTTTGCTGCCTTTAGGGCCCATGGGTCCTCGGAAGCCGTGAGGTCCCTCTACGCCAGGTTTGCCAGGTGTACCCTTGTCGCCTTTGTCTCCTTTATCACCTGGGTGGACAAGAAGAAACACAGGTGAGTGGTGCAGACAGAAACATCAGAAATATAATCTCGACTTCTACTAAACTAAAATAACTACATTTACTTAAGGAATTAAAAGCAATTTTGAGTTACTTTCCACTTTATGCTACTTCTACTTCTACAGCAGAGAGAAATATTGTATTTCACTTACTTTACAGTTACATGTTAGGTTTCAGATTAAGATTTCACATTAAAAAATAAGATTATAAAATATAAAACACATTGTTGAAGATCATATCAGTGTTTCATAAACATTTTGACTTCTGACCTTAGACAAAAAAAGCAGTGTCTGCTTGGGGCCCCTTGTCATGTCTGCAGTTTTTTTAAATAGATATTTCCCCTCTAGACCTAACTCTAAAGGTTTCATTTAAATAGCTGCTCAAGGTTGAAAGAGATAAAATCATCCAGTACTTCACAGATTATAACAAAGTTTAGGGGAAAAAATGAATACTATATGAATAATGTTTGTCTTCTTTCCTACCCCATTAATCATCTTACAACCCGCCAGATTTGTCTTGACCTTCAGGATGTATATAAAACTAGCTCCATCTCATGCAGCTACAATAAAAAGGTACTTGCACAATGCAGCCTCAGTAATAATATAATGATATATAATAATATATCAGTTAGAAGAGTCATTTTCCTGCTGAACGAGTACTTTTACTTTTGATATTTTAAATACAGTACATTTTGCTAATAATACTTACATGCTTTTGCTTAAGTAGGATTTTGACTGCAGGAATTTTACTTGTAATGCAGTATTTTTTACATTAATGTATTGGTACGGCTACTGGAAAAGTCACAATTTAATACTGATGCCTCTATATGACCCCCATAAACACACAAAATCATAAGTAAAAAGATATTTCTATATAGTAATTCTTAATGCCTGCCAGCCGGAGGTTGCTGTAGTTGCAGTCCCCTTGAAATCCATTAAACAAGGCAGTGGAAACACTCCTGCTTCATTGGCCAAAATCTACAAAAAATTAAAGTTCCTTGTGGCTGCTTTATAATGTAGCTCTTAATAAATGTTTTATTTTTTTTAAAGAGGAACAGTTAGATGTTGCTGAGATAAAACTGATATCTCTTTTTTGTTAGTTAGTCCTCATTCAACTCACTAAGAGTCAAGACTGGTCCAGACTACATGGTTGTATCTCCAATTGGCTGTACTAGACAACTTTTTAAGAATATTCCTGATTTATGTAAGTAAACTTGCCATTTACCAAATTGCAGCTCTTACTGAGTAAAAAATAGGCCCAAGACTTGGTCAAAGCTCTTGTTGAAAAACAGGCCACTCATTTTGACATGCACGCAATGCCATTAAGCTTTTTCTGTCTTTCATAATGGTTACAAATCCAGAAATGGAAACAAATTGCAGCAAGGTTTTTACATCTGACATTCCAAATCCTACTTATAAATCTTAAGCACTTTTTTAAAACCAATGCTGCTCTTTATTTTGTACTCCTCATGGACTGTAAGACAAAATGTTTTAACAGATATGTCTAAGGGGGGTCTTCCTGAAAAATAGGAACTATGATCAGGTGCCAGGAGTTTTAAATAATGAGTCAAAACACAGTTTCTTATGTAACTCAGAAATAATTATTTATTTCTGCACGACTATTACAGAAAAGATCATGTAATGGCAAAGGGCATCAAAAAAGAAAGACTGGAGTTAAATGTGAGTTTGGAAAGTCAGGAATCTTCCCAGCAGCAGGCTGGGAAAAAGAGAATATGAGTTGAAATGTTATTAAGAGGTTTTTCCTCAGCAAATCCTTTCTCCTTATATGAGACAACTAAAGGTGTTAACAAAACAGTATATAAACTTCAGCAACAGACAGAAATGACCTAAAGATACAATTTATGAGGCTGTTTGTCTTAGCTCATGTAAAGTTGACGTTTCTGAGATATATAATGACCAGCGATGTTGGTGTTTAGGGATTGAGTGATCAGAGGCAATATATGGCATCTGACAATGTATTCAATTTGTTTTCCACCAAAATAGGCACTCTTGCAATAGTATCCACTATGACTTGAGACATACAATTTTTTATTAACATTTAACCCAATATACAACCCGATATTTCCTAACCTTTACCAGTGCTTTGCAGGATTCTGGACGTGAAGCCAGACTGTGTTGTGCCAGTCTTGTCCTTTGTACGCCCACCACCCACTCGAACCACCTCCTTGCGACTCCACTGTGCTACATAAATGTAGTGTTTTAAAAAACATTGTCTGTAAACATAATCCTGGTATTTCAGTGTAACCCCAACATAATTTAAAAAATTATTTAGTGATATACAACCATAATTTTTAGGAGACAGTCTAACATGCCGATCCAAAATTTCCCATAGGTGTTCAATTGGGCTAATATCTGTTGACTGTGAAGGTCATAGCATACTGTATGACCCACATCATTTTTAAACCATCAACCACCTGAATTCCTTACATCCACTTGTTTATTCAAGGAGTAGTGACAGTTTCAGTGACTTTCACATTCAGTTGAAGTATTCTCCTCTACTGGTTGGGCTAAGGAAACTTTTTCAAACAACTCCATGGCTGTCAAGCTAAGTTAAACACCTCTAGGGTAAACCACACAGGAAGAAGCCACAGCACTGCCCTTGCTAACCATGACCCAACACTTCCTGGAGACCTAAGGTAAACATCAGTGATCCTCTAGACAGATGTTCAGTGATCTGCCCCTGGGCTGTCCAGCTGTGACTAGTGTCCACACAAAGAGCCCTGAAGAGAGTTACAGCAAACAGCAGCTTAGCAGCACCTCTAAACCAGATGGCCATATATGGGGCTGATCCTTTATCCTGAAATCAAATAATAACCCTATGCCCATTCTGACCACCCTTTCTCTTTAAAGATACCCTCCAGACATGTATTACAATATATTCATATAGACTGCTTGGAACAATAATTTTTGTCTCATATGTTTTTTTCCATCAAAAAGTATAATTTCCATGTTAAAATCCTTAACAAGTTTTCTTGCTGGTCCCAAGATGTCTCCTACTTCACTGTAAAGTCCATTCTCAGTGTATGTGCACTGGTGACTTTAAGTTTCTACATGCTTGTATAAGAGCAATGCCAATTGGACCAGAAGTGATTTCCAAACTGTTGGTCGTGTCACAAATCATGCTCGTAGGCCTGTCCCTTAAAATCAGATTTCAGTGAGAAACTTTCCATTTTCCACAGATAAATGTGAAAAGATCCTTCTAGTGTCAAACTGCACATACATCATTCTGCACAGTGAATCTCAAACATCTAACTGTAGGAACAAGAACAAAAACATATTTTTAAGTCCAGGTGCTAAATACAGAGAAATATATATATGTTTACAGCGTAAATACTAATGCACATTGTTAGATATCAATTTGGGATGTCTGATCATGTCCTGGAGTACAACTGAAAGGAAAATATATTTTATATTGTTACTCTTCTTGCTCATCCCCAACCTGCCTTGTCTGCTTCCAAATTAGCTGGTGATTTTCTGCACTTCCCCACCGTGCAACTGCTTCCCTTACTCAAAATATCCAATATAAACAGTATATACAACCAACATGTGGGACATCCATAGGTAAGAACCAAGGAAGACAAAAGGTGATCTGTTTCTTTACAAAAAAGTAAATGAAAAGAAAATATGTCTATACATTCTAAAATTGTGTCACTCCAGATTATGACAGTGTAGTATAACATTTAGTTTAGGCTAGTGCATGTTAGAGGTTAGAAATCATGTAATCACACAAAGAGTCTGGATATTATATATATTATGCACTATGGTTTGTTCACACAGATAACTGGAAATCAAGGAAAGAGCACTATGTTTTAAGTAATGATGATTTTTGAAGTGTTAAGTAGAATAGATTTTAAATTTTTGAGTGTTAAGTAGAATAGTTTTATACTTTTGAGTGATAAGTAGAATAGATTTTATATAAGCACACAGTGATGTTAATGAAGGCATTATGTTTTAAGTAAAGATGATTTCATGATAGGCACAATACTGTTGATGAAGTAGTAAGCACCATGGTAAAAGTTTGATGTAAGGTGTAGTGAATATAAAAATGTGTAGATGTAGCAAAAAAACAAAGCAAAAAACGAGCACTGATTATACCAAATGTATGTGAGTGATTATAACACAAGTTTTTTATTATCTTAAAAAATACAGTGAAGGACATCTGTGACATAATGGTGTAAAGGAAAGGTAATAAATGTTTTTAAAAAAAATAGAAGTACAGTAAGCTGGATTCTAATGGTGTAATCCTGAAGAAAGGAGAACAAAAGAAAATGTCAAGTAAGCAAATGTCTGCGGGTTCTGTGATAAGAACATAGACCCTACAGGTGCAGGCTAATTGGGCTGATAAGACACTAGTAGAATAGAAAAACCACGGTTGGTGGAATTTTAGGGTCTTTCCAGAGGGGAATTTACACCAATATGTCATAGTTTGAAAAGGTAGAAGATGGGCAGGACTTGTGACAGAATGCAAAAGTATATAAGGAGAAGCTTTGTGAGGATGAATTCAGTCTTTCCATGGATGGCTCGGGCTTTGTTTGTCTGTTAAGATAATTAAGCTCTATTCTGCTGACAACCTTGATGAATCCTGATGATTATTTTTCACTAGAAGAACAGTATTTTTTAACCTAATTTAGACTCAAATTCTGATATGTTGGGACCAATCTTCTGAACAAAGAAAAACCTGTTCTGACTGAGACCCAACAACAGCTTTGGGGAATACTACCTTCGTTAAACAGCAAGTACTAATAATATTTTACCAATATTACAGCATTTTGCCACACTGTATATACTGTACATATCCTAGCATGTAACACTAAGAACAGTGGTTCCAACTGGTGTAGGCTCACTCAGGGCTCCGACATGCTGAGTCCATTTGGGCCAACTTCTCTTCTTTCATTGTTCCTATCCACGGACAGAGAGGACGCAGTCACTGGAAATGAGTTGCCTTAATATGAAGTTGTCTGAATTGTCAAAAACAAGAAAAAGTTAAAGTCTCTGGAAGGTCAGTCATATACATGTTTTCAGCACAGCAGAGATGATAACGGAGGAGAGGAGGACATCTCTGAAGCCTTCAATATTCGATCCTCAATTCAATGGATTTAGCCAGTTTCACTTTCATTTCTGTAAAGTAATTTAACAACAATAGGTAGGCTGTAATTCTTGCTTATCTGCTGTTGGATCACATAGCTTGGCTATATGCTCTACTGCATGCCTATGCATCTCTGTATGGACAGTCGGTATTTGTGGGCATAATTGTCGGAGCCACTGGTGTGTTGCATGTATGCACTGAGAAAAAACAAACAAAACAGTGGTTGTACACAGCCCTGGCTCTGTGAATTGGAAACAAACAAAGTAGACCGGGCCGAGCCACACAACATTTGTTATTCCAGCCAGTGTCAGCTAACGTTAAATTACTTGGACATAGATATTCAGCTAGGTATTAGTAATAGTAGCAGGAGACTTGAGTATTGCTGTCTGGGGATGGTGTGCTCGCTCTAGGAAATCGTTTTGTACTCTTTGTATGTTAGCTTACAGTTTCCTAACGCACAACATAGCTATAGTTACAACTAATTTAGGTTACTGTTTAAACAGCACAACAAAGACTCTGGAAAAGCGTGGGTCAAATGACCAACAGTGCTGGTATTACTGTAATAGGTTAATTGTATTAGTTGCATGGAAGCTGGAAATGGTGTTTCAAAATAAAATCACAGCTCTACAGACTACAAAAGTGAAATTAAAGATGCATTTCGTATTCCGACTGTACTTAAGCCAAGTGGAACCTTCTGAATATCTTAAGGGTGTGTAACATATCATTTAATCCTGTAGCTGTGGATGTGATGTCAAAAACGTGTGGGTAAAGAATCGCCTTTGTCCATGATTGACGGATCTGGTTTATTTTCAGAAATTTGGTTGACTGCTCTCTAAAACTGAGATTGACTGACTAACTGATTGTGGGTCATGCTGTTTAAATCCAATCACCACAGCTTTGTGGGAACACACAAAGTCACTCACACACATACACAACATGCAAAGCACAAAGACACACACGTTAAAGCAAGCTTTATTGTTTTCCAGTGAGCAGTCAGTGAATCAGTGCAACGCAGACAAAAAAGGTTTGCGTGTACTATTTGTGTATTTGTGTTTTGTCAGAGCACAACTAGATTTTTCCAAAGCACAGTGTGTGCCTTTGTGCATGTGTGTGTTACTACACATATGTTCCTGTGTATGTATGCATGTATGTATCTGTGTTTTCTGCCAAATAAGCAAGTTCAGTGCCAGGTGAAATTTTGTACAAAAGAGCAATCATATGAGACAGAAATGCAACTTCTCAGCTGGTCCAATATATCCCTTTTAAAATCAAAATTTCATTTTCCATTCCATTTATCTAAGTCCTTGAACGAAAAAAATAGGACCACAAGAGTTCCACAACCATTATTTCCAGCAACAAAAACACGATGCCTAACTGAATGAAAAATCTGATCTGAATGTCAAACAACATTTCAACCAAGCATCTATTTAATCGATCATAACTGCATACTGTATGTGTCTACATTGTGTTAAGCAGCAAGTTTTTATACTGTATAGTTAGCATGTGGCCAAGTGTATTGCCAAAGTATTAAAATTGCTCTAAGACAAGTGTCTAAGACAATTTTTACTTAAAAATGTTAACTTGGATTTCTTCAGTGGAAAAGTTATGGGTTCTTCTGCAGTATAAAAGGGCTGTAATCGTCTAAAACCGTGTGCATCCATGCAATGTTTCTACATGTATGTGTAAAACAAGAAAGAGAGAGATTTTTCTTTTTGTGGTTCAACAGTTGGACTGGTTTGGGGGTTGATCGCGGGTCAGAACAGGCTTGGCATGTCCAGTTATCAAAGGACCAGCAGATAAAACAGCAGGGTGATGACACATCGTTTGGACTGCTCTGGTCGACTTGGCCACAAAGGCTCTGATATTAGACACACATGTTCTCACGAATGCCTCTCCAGCTGTGATTGTGTGGTTCATGGATATTCAAAAATCCTTGTATTTTTAATCTAGTTTCTTGTGTCAGATTTTTGTTTTATCTTTTTCTGTTTTCTCGGGGACTAAACATACATTTGCACAGACATAAGGCCACACAAATGCACAAACACACAATTATCATCTCATACAAACAGTAACAGACTTGACTGTGACAGGACTGTAAGTCAATCATGTGTACTAACAAGTAGAGGTCTTCATGGGTCCACACAGGTCCTAGTATCTAAAGACCTGGTCCGAGGGCTCGAGTCAGGCCGGGGAAAAATGTGTTTTAGTCTTGTTGGGTTCTGTTCTATTAAAGCATGTTTGGGGTTTTGTGTGTCAGTAGGTGTTAAATTTGTTTGTTGAGACAAAGAAGCAAAAAGTATTGCTGTCGCCGAGACTACATTTTGTCATATTGGTGGTCAGGGGGTTGGTTTGAGTCAACTGCCACTCGGATCAGGTCTAGTTATCTTGAATGTTGTAGGTCCTTTCCAGATCAAGTCCAAAATTTTTGACCCATGAAGTTATCTAGTAACAAGTCAAATGAAGTTAGGAGACAAGCTTGTTTAACACAAGTGTATCTATTGTTTTAATACTGACACTGTGATATACTTCTTTGTCAGACTACAAACAGATCAAATGAATCAAATTGTGTTTTTTACGTGGTTTGTAAAATAGATTTTAGACTGAAAAAGGCAAGCTTTCATTTCTACCAGCTCTTCTGTTAAAATGATGCAATTTATTAATTTCATGGCTTACATGAATATATCTGTTGATATGCATTTTGTATGACAGACTGTCAAAAGCTATTAAAGTCGCTATTATCAGTCTGGGTCTTTCAAAAAATGTTGAAGAGTCATTGATTTTTTAAGTGATTCCAGGTTGTTCAAACCAGTGGAGTGTCTAATTTCCTTTTCAAAGACAGTTTGATTTTTTGTCTCAATTCATCAATCATTTCATAGTTACACTTCAGCACTGTTCCATGACAATATACATGATTACTCTTCTGATTAAATAGTAGCCTTGCCAGACACACTGCCATCTGGAAAAGCAGAAGCTGTGATCCAATTAAGGATGTAGCTTGAAGAGGAGATAGTAACACAAATATTCAAGGATAGATGGTTTTCAGTGACTGAACACGCAACCACAAAATACCGTACATCCTGTTACATCCTGCAAGAATCAGAACAAAAACTGGAAAACTGAGAAACTGCCAAATAGACAGGAAGTACCAGCTAACTTCAAGTCAAGCAAATAATCAAAAACTAATCCAAGTTCCGGTACCTTTGAGGATGGTCATGTTGATGATAGTGCGAACCTCAGGCATCTGATATTGGGCCGTGGCTGCTGGTGGCTCCGAGTGGTCGCAGCACCGCCTGCAGAGTCTGGAAGGAGGTCTGGAGGGGGAAGGGACGCAGCAAACCATAGGAAGGAGCAAAAGCAGCCTCAAACACACTGCCAACATGACTGTTACAACCTGGGAGTGGAATGAAACAGAGAGGAAGGAGAGTGGAAAAGTTACAGCTAGGCAGAGCTTGATGTTTAAGTGTATATCCATATGAAGTCATGGCAAAGGAAGACTTATGAAACTAAACCCTGTCATGATACATAATTTTTTTTACAGTGAGGCTCTTGCTTACTCCCTTTGCCAGAGGAATTTCTGAAAAGTCCAACAAGCTATAATATAAATAAATACTGAAAAAGATCCACCCAAAACCAACATTTTTGGGTCAGTTTTGTTGATTTGTGTATTTTTTACATTCCAGTGGAGAACTGGCCAAGTGTTAAGATATATTGATGATAGTAACTGAAGAGTTTGATGGTTATCTCTAAAGTGTTGAAAATGCTGGCAGTCCCTTAAGAATTAAGATGCAAAACTGATTTTTTTTGGACAACAATCTAAAAAGGAGAACCTCTATTGTCTCAATAGACTAGAATGCAATGCAGCCAAGACATGTTGTGGTTCGAATAAGGGGTGCAGCCAAAGTCATGGATATGTCCCAGTGTTCGCAATCCAGTTAGCTAGCTATCAACATTTTAATCTTTGCTAAACATAAGTCCTCCACACCTAATCTCTGGCAGCTGTTGAAAGGCTTCTGTGAAATGTAGAAAAGACTGTGTAAGTGGAAACTGTACCAAAAAGTAAATTGCTAAAAAGCGTTAAGTAACTTCTGGCATACACTGAACATAAGAGACTCATGACACGCTACAATTAGGGGGGAATTTTCCCTTTAACCTTCCTTAAGCTTTCAAGAACATAAACCAAAACTGTGGTATGAAGGTCAAAGCCACAGATGACAGATTGTCTTGTGACCCTGAAGTTGTTCTCATATGGGGTCCAGAGGATCTGGATTTGGAAATAAAATCCCAGGAGAAAAAGCCATATGAAAAGATTTGAAAACAAAGGAGGGAGTTGCATGGCTTTCCATACATACACACATACACACCTGGACTCGATTGGATGTGAAAACATCAGCAGATATTTGAGTGTCTCCGCACAAACTTAGAGCAAGAAATGCTTTCAAACACCTTTCCAAGGACAATATGTGCTGATAAACCTGTCACCTTTAGCAGATCCACTCACAAATGTCTTTATATAGTCTCTGATACACAACTTGACAAAAGACAAAGAAAATGGATTTACTTATTTGACTACCTTGAAAGTTTCCAGTCGTATTTAGCAATAACAAGACTTTGTTGAATGAAAATCTAAGGTTACAAAGACATTAATAGTAGTTCTGTGTGACTATGTAAAATGACATAACACAAAACATATGTCACTGGTAAACTGAGTGCATGTTTCCTGGGGGGGCCGTGGAAGTTTTACTCTATTTTACTCTACACTGAGTCACACAAGACCATGATGTGGCATAAAACCCAACAGGCTCATAAAGTATTAAATAAGTTTTAGTATATTTATTTATAGACTTTGTTTTGGTGTTAAAATCAGTATTATTTATTAAAATATACTAAATCTCAGCTGTCCTTTCATTGCGGAATCGTTGCGACCCTCCTCCACACCATTCACTTCCAGTTCATCATATCCAGTGCCCAGGTTGAGCTCATCAGAAGCCCATTCCTCATCACATCCAGATCTTCAGCATTCTCTTCATAACCTCATCACCTCCACCACCAGTGTCTAGACTAGCAGGAGGTTTACTATAATAACCACAGCTTCACCAACCCCTTGAAATACAAAATCAGTTAATGCAGGTTTAACTGTAGGCTACACAGTAGGACTGTGTGGTTAAGAAGAAAAGGAATTTCCCCTGTGGAGATTTAGGCTTGCTAAACAGTGCAGTATACGTATATTACTGCCTTTTTTGTTTTGTTATTGACTACTCTACTACAGCGGGACAATGTTTCATCTAACCTGCTTGTACGAATCACCTGCACTTTCCTTCCTCCTGCGTCCTTGGTTTGTACAATTTCTTACTTTAAGCTGAAAAAAAAAGTCACCAGTTAGTAAACATATTTGGCGTTAACTGTGTGGTATTGTAATCCTGGGCTGTGTATTGAGGGATATTGAGTAGTACTGTGTTTTAGGCCATGCTTCTGCTGTGTCGAGTCTCTTCAGCCTAGCCGCTCTGGGACAAATACTGAACATGACATGATGATGTGACGCCTGGTGCAGTTGTGACGGTGTTTTGCCTTCCCCTGCGGTTGGTTTCTCAATAGTGCAATATTTCTGTATTGCAGTAAGTATTAGTATTTTAAGTATTCAGATGGTATGCTCCATTATGTTAAACATCTAGTCTCTAACTCTCTGTGTCTGCTCTTTGGAACTGGTGAAGTAGTGGGTTTATCAGAGCTTATTTTGCTGAAAACAGCTGCCAGGTGCTGTTGGAAACAACGCTGATGAGAGTGGAATTTGAGGACCATACAATCAAAACCATGAGATGAAACAACTGCAGGAAAAATCTTAGCTGTCTGTCTATTCTGTGTTTTCCATTTGTATCATTCCCTTATGTGAAGGAATTTTTGTTCCTATGTATCTGTATGTATCCTATGTATGAAGGGTCTCACACAAGCATACAGGTCTATGACCTAAATGGTCATACTGGAGGCATCTAGGTCCAATAGCGACTAGAGTCAGTTAGTGTTCTGGGTCCCTGGGATTCTTGTTTATGTCACAGCATAGCTGCAGTGATACAGGGCCAAGCTGTACCATGTTTTCCCTGAAGAATGAGATTAGTTATTACTCAGGGGCAGACTGGCTGTCTTTTCTGTTCCTTGTAAAAGTAGTGCAGTGTTGTAGGTGGCATCTTGGGTGATTCAGGGTAAGCAAGATAAGCTTGGACCTTGTTTTCAACCATTCTCAAATTAGATCTTCACACATATTTACCAGTGTAAATTGTGATCATAATTGGAATGCTTGTTGTCATTGTGGATCTGGGTAAATATCCCCTGACAAATGAGAACCTTCAGAATTAGGTTGGCACTGCACTGTGTTACACTGTACTGCTGAACCATATTCTCCTCGATAGAGCCTCAATAAATCCTGCTGTGTAATTCATCAAGGTCTCCTGAAATCTACTTTGCATGAATGATTCTTCATCATCTAAGTTTTTTCCATCACATCTCCCTTTGTCTTATTCTGTCTACAGTGTTTGTATTTCTTTTTTATCTGTCTTCTTGCCATCCATCCTCATTTAGCTTCTAAAATCCACACATGTGTAACAGAAATCCTCTGAAAAGCAAAACGGTAAAGAGAGAAGAAAAACAAATGGCAGATGAGAGAGAAAACTAAGAAAAACATCAACAGGAGAGAGAAAGATGATACGGATAACAGAGATATTCCCAGGGGTTTTTACAGTAACAGATGAATGTTAACTGGATTTGAAATGATGGATGGAGCATGACTGTGAGAAAATGAAATGACTGGAGCTCTGCCGCGATATTTTTATCCAACTGATGAGTAAAATATAATACTAAAGGATATTATCTGAATCTGCTTTACTATCATAGCCAGCCAGATGTCAGGGGATACATTTATACTCACTTACACAACATGTTTGAAAAGTTAGTTTAGATTCTTCCTTTTAATTCATATTTTTTTTTCATCTACTTGATGAATGGCAGCAACAACAAAGTGGCTTCTTGGTCTGTGGCCTCTGTGAAAGAGGACACTCTGTAGATAAAAATGGCTCTTTCTAAGGGAACGCACAACAATTCTTATTTTCAGGTGGCAGAAATTGAATATAATATTCGTAGGTATGTTTCCATTAGTGTATAATCACCTGAGAATAAATAATGTTGTGTTTTCATTACCTCAAAATGAACCAGGTTTTATCTACACATGCCGCAGGTTTTCTTCTGTGGAGTCTGTCATGTTGAAGCGGCATGTTTTTACAGTAGCCCAGAATGGACAAAAACTGGACTTGGAAAGGCAGGGTGAAGCGAGTGAGTTGCAATCGGAATCTACGCCATTAGATGGCATTAAATCCTACACACTTCCTTTAAAGGAAACACACAGCACCAATGTGCATCAAAACCAACCACCCAGGTGGCAGGGGGCTTTATTTTAGAACTGACGTAGGAGCAAAGATTGCTCGATATAACTTACAGTGAAACGTTTCTGAAAAAATAAAATCCTCTTTGGCTCAAAAAGCATTTTCGCCACCGACCACCGTTACAAATAAGATGCTGGTAAAACTGAATGACTTATAGTCTGGTACCAAGACATGCACTTTATAAAATGGAATTCACCCGTACTCCATCAGTGTAAGTCATGTTTTTATTACTTTAAATACTTCTTACATCAGTTTCCTGGACTGCCATTGAAAAAATCACTTTCCTGCAGGCAGGTCAGCATTTGGGAATTTTCTGTTTATTAGATGCCAGAAAATTAGCTGCTTCCAAAATAGCCATCGTGCACTGACACGTATGGTAATCATATATTCATATATTTGATGCATGACTACCAATAAAATGAAAATAAATGCATAGTGAATTTAAAGGAATACTAGCAAGAGTACTCATGAAAGTATTGTTGTCTTTCCAGAACATCCATCACTCCCCATGAACACCTTCTGTCTACTGTAGGCCTACTGACAAAATGTAGGCCCATTGTGGGTTAGGCTAGAAAAGCTTCCAACTAACTGACTTGTGTTTAGAATACAGTGTAACACAACAAACATTTAAGTTGCATTTAGTTTCTGCTATCCTCACAAAAAAAGATTCTTTCCTGAAAACAGATTCCATAAAGTATGTGTAAGCATTTGGGAACCTTGAACTAAACAGCCTATTTCCTGACACCTCTGTGTGACAGGAGCTAAAGTGATGCCAAATGTATTATAACCTCAGGTTACCTCATCAACCCTCACCCCTCCCCATTCCCAAAAACCACCAGGACACCATCAGAGCTGTGTGCACAATTTCACCCGTTATGATCATGAATGAACACGCCGCTAATAAACTGAACACACACTGCCTGATACCAACCCAACCGCAACACACATGCAACAGAATCATAATGAATCCATTTAAGAAGCCACGTCTACAACGCCAGAGCATCAGTTTGGCATGCAACTGCGCTCCGGATAAACCACACACACACACACACACACACACAGTCACAACGCAGATTTTAGCATACACACACACACACACAAACACAAACGCCATGCACTTGAAACGTGTCAGTGAGCCGGCGCGTAAGAACGCGCACGGTGATGTCAGGGGTAACTTTTCAGAACACTGCCGCTGAGTTGGCGACTTGTGAATAACTTCTTCAATCTTGCACGTCTCTGCAAGCACGCAACCGCGCCGCCGGGTCTTTTTTTCTCCTTCTTCTTCTTTTTTTATGCTTTAAAGCTCCCGAGGTTTATTATGCAGAGTCGCCGTGCAGAGACGGGTTGTCATAAAGTCGTTGTCACATCGTGTCAGAGTGCCTGGTCGCTTTTCTTACCTGATGGAGCTTCACCACAGCGCAGGAGGAAAAACACAGACTGCTGGTGTAAGACTAAGAGGAGGAACTGCAGGAGCAACCTCTCTCTCTCTCTCTCT